GAGGTTGGAGAGAGGAGGGTGGATGGTGGAGGGTGGAGGGTGGAGGGAGGAGGTGGAGGGTGGAGGGAGGAGGGTGGAGGGAGGAAGGCGGAGGAAGGAGAGAGGACGGTGGAGGGTGTAGGGTGGGGGGAGGAGGGTAGAGGGAGGACGGCGAAGGGTGGAGGGAGGAGGGTAGATGAAGGAGGGAGGAGGGTGGAGGGTGGAGGGTGGAGGGAGGACGGAGGGGGTGGAGGGTGGAGGGAGGAGGGCGGAGTGTGGAGGGTGGAGGGTGGAGGTTGGAGGGAGGAGGGTGGAGGGTGGAGGGTGGAGGGTGGAGGGAGGAGGTGGAGGGAGGAGGGTGGAGGGTGGAGGGTGGAGGGAGGAGGGTGGAGGGAGGAGGGTGGAGGGTGGAGGGTGGAGGGTGGAGGGTGGAGGGAGGAGAGGGGACAGTGGAGGGTGGAGGGTGGAGGGTGGAGGGTGGTGGGTGGAGGGTGGAGGGTGGATGGAGGAGGGTGGAGGGAGGACGGTGGAGGGTGGAGGGTGGAGGGTGGAGGGTGGAGGGAGGAGGGTGGAGGGTGGAGGGAGGAGGGTGGAGGAAGGAGAGAGAGCGGTGGAGGGTGTAGGGTGGAGGGAGGAGGGTAGAGGGAGGACGGCGGAGGGTGGAGGGTGGAGGCTGCCTCCAAAGCCCTCTGCTGCTCGCCTACCTGCTCTCCATGCGCCCTGGGACAAAAAAAGGGTGGGGCAGAGACAGCGGTGGGGGGAGAAGATGCAACGGAGGATAGCGAGAAAGCAAGAGTAGAGCCAACGTGCAGCAGGAGCAACAAGGACGTGCGAACAGAGCGGACAACGAGCAGAACAAGTGTGAGAGTGTGAGTGAGTGAGTGAGTGGTAACACATGACAGCAGGTGGTTGGAATGTGTGGGGACGGGGGAAAGCGCATGGTGACGGTGGGCTACAGCAGCGAGCTAAGACAGCGATGGGTGAGTGGGGAAGAGAGGGTGCGCATGGTGTGAATGCATAGCAACCCCCTTCACTACAAGAGAAACGAAAGGAGAGGGGGGGGGAGGGGGGCCGCAAAAAAAGTGCCAAATTTTGCGAAGCAAGCGAAGGCGCTTGAGCTCATTGCCGTCATGAGCCACCAACGCTACGCGCCACACACGTAGCAGGTGTTGTATGTCGTATGCTGCTCGGCGCGTTTATAAGTAAGCCGTCATTCGCCGTTCATCAATGCAAGCGCGTCAATCTCCCGAAAATAACGTCCAACTCTCCAACCAGCGTCCAAAGCGGAGGACTCCAGCAATGGCGCCAGCAGTCGCCAGTCGCCTGCAGATCGCTGCCATGGCCGCGTGCAGGCCACGGCGGTCATGATCGCCAGCACTCCGCATCCTTGCCAATGAACAGAGCGAACACGAAACCCACAGGTGCTGCACGTACGCACGGCTCGCGGCATCCACAGGTCAGAAACGTATGCAGGGTTGGCGGAAGAGCTGGACTTGCACCGTCAGGCGAGTGGCAGAGTGAGCGCCGTGGCGGAATCGTTACACGTCGCGCCTGCCGCAATGACCGCTGTCAGACATCCCCGGTGTGCGAGAGGCTGAGAATACTACGCCGTCGTTCGTTTGAGACCAAGCGGTTCGCGTCGCTGCCGTCTCATCTCTCCACTGGTCCCCCTCGACCTTCGCAGCTTCAGCGATCCGCGCATGTAGCAACTGGTCCTCTCCGCAGTCCTTGTTGACACTCTCAGCATTCGCGTGTGGATGCGTCAGCGCAGAGGAGTGGGGCTCCAAGAAAGCGCACCTCAGTAGAGACGGATTACTGTCATTTGCCGCACCTGGAGCTCCGGGAACAGTCGGCGTAAGAGGAACCATACAACGACGCCAGATCAGTGCATACTCTTCAAATACTGAAAGGGGATCTGTCAACAGACGAAGCATTTCAAGTGAAACTTCATTTCCAGCAGTCACGATCAACAAACGGATCGAGGCTCGGACGCAGCGCGGGAATGGAAACTTGGGAGCCTTTAAAACGAGAGAATTTCTCCAGTGTCCTGTTCGGTGATTCGCCCTTGTTCGCAGGGCCTTGAATTACTCGAATGACCACCAAATTTGGTGATAATTACTCGAGTGGCCAGGCCAGGGGATTTTCGCTGGCTTGTTTTTTACCAACGCATTACCCTAAGGTGAAAAAATAAACCCCACGGCTCACAGCATGCCATTCGGGAGCCTCAACCCTAAAATTTTAGGGTTGAGGCTCCCTCGGATGGCTTGCCTTCCGAGCGGGTTTTAGTTTTTTTCGGGTGGGAAATAGTACGAAAACGCTACCTCGGGATGAGACTCGTGCGAACAAGGAATTTCAGAGTTACAAATCCTTGTAGAGAAATGTACCGGGGAAGACAACTCCTCGAAAATGCCCTGGCGTGGCCACTCCAGTAATTATCACCAAATTCGGTGGTCACTCGAGTAATTCAAGGCCACGCGAGTAAGAATGAATCATTAAACAGGGTTCTACAGTAATTCTCTCTTTTGAAACCTCCCAAGCGGACAGACGTCCCAGATTCACTGGAACAAGAGCTCCCTCACCTTTGTTCGATTAGTTTCGTCATGGTAGGCCGCGGTTCTAAAGCGCTCCATTCTGCTGTTGCTTGTGAACATCTTTAGAACCTGACAAAACAATATGGAGTTTAACATCATCAAAGTTCAAACCATTACATTAAGGGCACTTCACCTCTATGACGATCATGGCAAAACGAAGACGAGCCTTTGAAGTGAAAAGGGCATTATCTTCAATGTGAAGGTGGTGCAGCATTGTGAGAATACCCATGACTGATTTGGTTTGAATTGGAACTTCCAATGGGCATCCACTTTGAGTGACAAATACGGTATTAATGCACGAATTAATCCTGCACGTATTAACGCATTAGAGAAATGCTGGTATGGTTGCTCCTACCAATTTCAACTCTGTATGCTGCTGACACGGGGTCAGAAATGTCATGACTCCAAGAGTACCTAGCATGTACCAGAATAAGGCAGTGTTGAACACACTATAGAAAGCTTTTATCATCAGTTAATGAAGCGTAATAAGGTGCGAAGTGCATCCAGAGCCCAGATTTGGCAAAATAGAATCAATAAAAGCCCCTGAAAAAAAGAAGAAAAAAAAAAACAGACTGCTGTTAGTCTCTCTTCTGATGCTTTAAATTACTCAAGACAAAATCAATCACACTCATCAATGTGCCTGGTGGTGCTGACAGCAGACGAATGCGGTACGGGAACTTGCTGTTTGTGATGAGAGCCTGGCCAACTGAAGGTGATCTGGGTGGCTCGATTTTGCTTGATATCATTGCTTAGAATGTTGGACTCCAGAGTGGTTGATATGACTTCATTTCCTCTGAAGCTGATACCCAGGGTCGACAAATGTGTCCTCAACAGAAGTGTCAATGAAGGGTGTTCTCATGATGAACGTGACTCGTAATAAGCTTAATAGTTCGAATTATTACAGCCATTTACAGTCTCTACACGAGAAATAAGCGTCAAGAGGAGAGTCAACATCCCAGGTGTAAAAGAAATGCCATTCTCACCGTATAGACGAGTGACTGAAAACTAAGCTTTAACCTTCGCATTCTCATATCCACCTGCGTGCACATGAAGCAATGAAAAAACTGACTGAAGGGAAGGCGAAACGGGATTCAGAAAAGGAATACAAGCACCAGTAAAGCTGACTTAATCCTCCAGCAGTGAAGAAGCTTCTCCAGCAGTGAGGAAGCTCCCTTGTAAAACCTTCCAGCCAGCTTAGTAGGCTTCCATTCAACATTCACAAGGACCTGCATTGTTTTACAGGTGAGGCATCAGAGTCGAATGACCGAATGGTCGACGACTGACAGGCACACGTACAGTTGGCAAAGTGGACGTTCTTCGGAAAAAAAAAAAAATTATATACGCTCTCGCTCTTGTCTGTTCCTCGGCCTGAACTGCCATGATTAAGTTTCGTATGTATGAGAGCGCTAAGATTGATGGCTCCTAGCACAGATCACGCTGTGTGTAATGCGTGAAATCATGCAGTCACAGCAGCAAAATTCGTTTGTGGGAAGGGAACTAGACCTGAGTGAAAACGAATGTCCCAGCCCTGCCAGTCATGCAGCAACCAACCACGGACTGTTCTGTCAGTGAACTCGAGGGAGATTTGGTTGGCAATGGTGCTTCGTTTAGGAAACACTGTAGTCCGCATAACTCTTTCAAGATTTGAAAATATATATATACTACAACTTCAAGTTGAAATGGCTCTGTCCGCCTCCCTCTCCTCCCTTCACATCTCTCCCATCCCCACCGCACCACACCACTACCCGCTCCCATTTTCCCAACGTCCTCCCGCCTAGCCTAGTCGCTGCTTTTCGAGATGCATGCCAAACCAAACCACCTCAGTTTGTAGGCTCTGAAAGGGCTGCCGGGCAGGTTCGACGGGGAAACAGACAGATTAGGCTCGGCAAACCCCACGTGTTGCCCTTGTCGCTTTACCGCACAGCATGTTCTGTGGACCACTGGCGTGCGTTTGCCACAAAAGCAGGGGGGTGCATTTTTAGGCTGGTTAGCAGCGGTTGAAAGCGGTGAAAGGTAGAATTCGGCCTGAGTGCTCATTATCGTACTTCACCATTGCGCACCACATTGAAACGCACAGGAGGAATCACGGTTGAACAACATTCCGCCATTCCCCCCTCACTCAACTGCCAGCCTGCTACCTGTAGTTCATTCAGGGCTACTTAGTCTAGCACATAAATCCACTTGCGACCCTGTGACGAAGGCAATTCCCTTACCAGTTTCAACCTGGCTGAGGTTTCCTCGAAGCTGCATGCAGCTGTGACTTAGGAAAGCAAGTAATGGAGGAACAACGCGGGCATTTTGTCGGAGACTGCTGAGTCGACTTGCGACGACCGCATGAATCTTGACACGTAGTCACCATCCCATCATCGCCATCCGACATCACCGCAATTCCAACGTTTATCCTCGCCACAGAATTCTTCGTTCTAGAATATGATCCCATACGCAGCTGCCGAGTCGCCAGTCTGCACATCCGCCGTCCCCGCGAACGCGTCAACCTCGCCCGCCGCCGACATTGCACTTCCCCTCATCGAGGATGCCGCCAATCCCGACGATGGGCGGAAGCCGCCACCGCTGCTGCGCTTAAAAGTTAGCGGAGGTGAAGGTGGGGCGGGACGGGGGACGGATGGGACAGCAGAGACGAAAGCGGCGGCACGGGCGGGAATCGAGGGGAAGTTATTGGTCCCCGGAAGGCGCGCGGGAAGAAGCGCGAGCGGAGACGGCGCAATCAGCGCCAATGGTGGAGCGGAAAGCCCGCCAGAGGCGGTCACGGGCCCACTGACGTACCACGGGGAAGGGCGGAGGAGCGATAAGCGGAGCCCTTGGGGGGCGGGGCGCGGGGACAAGGCGCGGGCGGGGGAAGAGGATATGGGAGAGGAGAGAGGCGTGCTCGCTCCGCTACCGCGGAACGGGCGGAAGGGGCGAAGGCGGGGCGGGGAATCCGCGGGCGGTAGCAGAGATGCGCTACAGGGGGCGGAGCTTTTTAGGCGCGCCGTTACCATTGGCGACGCGAGCAGCAGTGGCGGAAGCAGAAGGGCTACAAGTGGTAGCATTGCCTTCAATTCAGCGAACCAATACCGTAGCGTCAGCAGCAACAGCAGCAGAAGGGGCACGAGTGCCGGCGCGATAGCGGATTGGGATCCCCCTGCCGCGTCCCCCACCCCCGCCGCTGCTTCCGCCAACCCCAGCGCCGCTTCCGCCACCCCCAGGAGCTCCTTGCCCCGTTCCGCCACCAGCACTATCACCCCCACCTCCGCCGCTGCGCGCGAGGGGCTGTTCGGGTTCCGCGCAGGCGCGCGCAGGCTGTACGAGGCGCGGAAGCAGGCGAAACGGCAGGCGAATGGCGGAGGCGGCGCAGGTGATTTGGCGGGTAGAGCGCCGTCCATGGGGAGAGATGTGTGGGAGGCCGCGGAGAAGAACCAGCTCGTGCGGTGGGTGGGGAGCGCGGAGAGGGGGAGCGCGGAGAGGGGGAGCGCTGAGGGGGAAAATGCCGAAGGGGGAAGCGCCGAAGGGGGAAGCGTCGAAGGGGGAAGCGCCGAAGGGGGAAGCGCCGAAGGGGGAAGAGTTGAAGGGAAGAGCGCCGAAGGGAGAAGGGGAGGAAGAGGTGTGGGGGAGAGCGGTGAGGGGGGGTGGGAGGGTAGTATGAGGCTTAGGGAGGGGAGGGGCGGAGGGGAGGGGGAGGGTGAGAGTGAGAGTGGAAGGGAGATATGGCACGAGGTGCGGGATATGATGGTGCTCAGAAGAGGAGGAGGGGATGAGGAGAGTGGGCCTGAATGGGATGATATAGATTGGGGAGAGGATAGTGAAGAGGAGGATTGGGAGGAGGAGGGAGAGGAGGCAGAAGGGGAGGAGGAGGGAGAGGAGGCAGAAGGGGAGGAGGAAGGAGAGGAGGCAGAAGAGGAGGCGGAGAGCAGGGGAGGTGGAGCAGCAGAGCCTGTTTCTGAAGTTTCTCAGGAGGTTGAAGGGAGCGTGGGGTTAAGAGGTAACGAGGAAGCTTTCTGTCTTAATGAGGTGGAAATTGGTGGAGATGTGAGTGAGGAGTGCGAGGAGGTGTGTGAGGGTGAAAGGGGTGAGGGGGAGAGGGAGAGGAGGGAGGAGAGGGAGGAGAGGGAAGCTGAGGGAGGTGAAGAGAGGGAGGAGAGGGAAGCGGAGGGAGGTGAGGAAGGTGATGGGGAGACAGCAGAGGATCATTGGTTTCACAGCAAGGGAACACAGGCACGCCAAGGGGTGGCGGCAGGCGGAGGGGTGGAGGCAGGCGGAGGGGTGGAGGCAGGCGGAGGGGTGGAGGCAGGCGGAGCAGCAGCAACAGAAGCACCAGAAGCAACTGCAGAAGCAACAGAAGCAGCGGCAACAGCAGCAGCTGCAGCAACGGGGGCTGCAGCTGACGAGCAATCGGAGCAGGCTGCAACGCCCGCTCCACCCGATACCACCCCATCCGCTGCATCGGCTACACCCGAGGGGACTTGTGAGTCGACCCCAAACGCAGCACCCGGGGGATATTCACGCAAGCTCCTCTCATCCCGCACTCTCAAGCTGGTCCTTGACCCCTTGTGCCCCCCCCTTGTTGTGCCGTACTCCGAGTCTGCTTGTAACGAGGATGCTGCTCATTCTGCTGCGGCCGCTGCTGCTGCTGCTGCTGCACTTGCTGATGTATCTACTGCTGCACCTGCTGCTGCACCTGCTTCTGATGCTCCTGCTGGGGCTTCAGGAGACCTGCTCACACCCATAAGCACCAGGAAGCGCAGCAAAGCTGTAGACGCAAGGAAGCGCAATGAGACTCACTCAGCAGAATCAGCCAACCCATCTCACACGCCCAAGAGGACAGGCACGTTTCAGGCGCCTCAAAAGTCGCAGTCAAGCACAGCAACAGCAACAGCAACAGCAACAGCAACTGGAGCACAATGCGAGCCCCGCTGGCCCCTCACGCCCTCTCACAAGACTATTCCGTCCGCCCACACACCCTCAAGCATAATCGCCGGGGATCCGCACACCCCTCTCTGGCCCCTCACGCCCTCTCACAGGCCCTCTGAGTTCACTCTCGCACCACCGATCCCTGACACCGATGCACGATACAAGCCCCTCTGGCCCCTCCCTCCAGCTGGGTCCCGGCAGCGCGGGAAGGGCAATGAGACGGCTCAAAGCCGGCCGACGAGTAGTGGAGGCAGGGAACGGGGAGCAGACAGGGTGGGGCAGGGAGGAGGGGGAGTGGGGAAGCAGGTGAAGCGGTCTGAGACGGTTCACAGTCTAAGTCGGCCGACGAGCAGTGGAGGGAGGGAGCGGGGAGCGGATAGGGCGGGGCAGGGAGGAGAAGGAGTGGGGCAGGGTTTGAATCGCTCTGAAACGGTTGACACTTTAAGTCGGCCAAAGAGCAGTGGAGGGAGACAAGACGAAGCATGCAGAGTGGGGCAGGGGTTTGAGGATTTTGAGCAGGCTGTGGCGTGGCTGGCAGGGCAGAGTGGCTTGGAGAGCTCTCAGCAATCCTCGCAGGGGGAGCAGGGGTTCATTGTGAGGCGGAGTCAGCGGGGGAAGAGTGGTGCAGGGAGGGAGGGAGGAGTGGGGGGTGCGGGGTGGAAACTGAGCGGTGAGTTTCCGATGGCGGCCGGGTCACAACCGCAGTCAGGGGGTGGAGGTAGGCGGAGGAGGTGCACTGGTGGCAGTGGCTTTGATGGTGGTGATGGTGATGGTGATGGTGATGGTGATGGTGATGGTGATGGTGATGGTGATGGTGATGGTGGTGGTGCTGGCGGTGGCATTGATGCAGCAGGGGTTGACACAGCATGCATTGACAGAGCTCTGGTGGCAGCACCACCAAGTGGCGAGTGTGAGGAGGCACCTCCGTTGGAAGCTTTGGAAGCAGCCATGCCGAATGCACTGCATGCCTCTGAACCACAAACCGCTGTTGCTGTTCCCACACTTGCCATTCCCACACCTGCCATTCCCACACCTGCCATTCCCACACCTGCTATAGTCACATCTCTGCCACCAAGTGTCAACTCACCTCAGGATGCAGTCACACTCGCTGTTGAAACTTCACTACACACCACCTGCAGTCCTGCTGCTATGCCCGGTGCTGCTCCTGTGCTGCCTGCTGAAGGTCCTTCAGCAGTACCTGAGGATTCACCTGACGCACCTGAGGGTTCACCTGGAGCAGCTAAGGGCTTACCTGAAGCACCTGGGAGTTCACCCGAAGCACCTAAGGGTTTACCTGAAGAAGCTGAGGGTTCACCTGAAGCATCTGGGACTTTACCTGAAGAAGCTGTGGGTTCACCTGAAGGTTCATCTGAAGCACCTGAAGGGACACCTACAGTTGTTACCACTGCACCTGCTGCTGTTGCAGCCCTTACTACTGCCCCTGCTGCTGCTACAGCCGTTACTACCCCTACTGATGCTACAGTCGCTGTTACGACCCTTACATGTCCTGCAGCCACTGTCACTGCTCCTGCTCCTGCTCCTGCTCCTGTTCCTGCTCCTCCTGCTCCCGCTCCTGCTCGCACCACCTCGCTTCACAGCTCAGAACCACCCACCACCGTGCGAAACCTCCTCAAACCGTCAGTTTCTGTCGGCGACCTGTCCGCCACATCCACCGTCCCCAGATGGGCCCTCCCCTGGAAGAACCCAGCGCGTTCGCCCCTGCCTGGAAGCAGCATTTCATTCTTTGGGCCCAAAACGCCTGGAAAGACGTCCGGCAGCAGTGGATGGGCCAAGGCGCCTGGCAAGGCATTAGGCAAGGCGGCAGGGTCTGGGTTACAGGAGAGTCTCGGTGCTTCTGACGGCCGTGCCGCTGGAGGGCCTGGGGTGCAGGGTAGGGGAGCTGGGTTGGAGGAACGGGCAAGTGCTAGTCAGGAGGAACGAGCAAGTGCTAGTCAGGAGCTAAGGCAGCAGCACGATCAGCAGCAAGAGGAGCAGCAAGAGCAGCAGGACATGCAGCAGGAAGGGCAGCAGCAAGAGCAGCGGCAAGGGGAGCAACAGCAGCAAGGGAAGGGGCGGCAGGGGAAGGAGCAGCTTCATCAATCAGTGAGCGAGGGCAGCATATTCACACGGCCTCCTCGCAGCAACACCTCACCCCGCATCCCCTTACCCCGCCACCGTACGCTCCTCTCTCCCCGCGAACTCCTGAAAAAGCTCTCTGCCTTCCCCTCCAGTTTCCCCTCCTCTAGTTTCCCCTCCAGCGTCCCCTTGGGGGGCCCCACCCGGGGGTTCTCTTCCGGGCGTTCTTCGGGTTTCCCCTCGTGGAAGAGTGTAACCCGGCGGTGGCACTCGCACCATGAGGCGCTGACTTCGGTACCTTCAGATGGGCCCAAGGACGTGTGGGAGGCAGCAGAGAAAGAGCAGCTGGGTGGGTGGCGGAGCCGGTCGAGGGGTGCGCGCAAGAGGAGCATCATGGAGGCTGCTGGACGGAGCTTGAGTGGTTTGAGTGATAGTAGTTCGAGTGGGAGAGATTTGAGTATGAGGGATTTGAGCGGTGCGGGGTTGAGTGGCAGGGATTTGAGCGGAGGAGGTAGCAAAAGTTGGCATGAGACAGGGAGTGGGGTTTTGAGCGGGGGGGAGCAAGGTGGGGGGTTGGAAGGGAGAACAGCAGGAGGAGGAGGGATGGATGGTGTGGTTTTGAACGGGGGGGAGCAAGGGGAGGCTCAGAGCTCCTACAGTGCAGATATACCTGGGTTGCATAGCAGGAGGCACACTGTAGACAGTATTGGGGCTGCTCTTGGCGAGTACAGCAAGTCTGCTTATAAGGAGGACGGCGGGCGCGTGAGTCGGATCCGCCGGGGTGTGTTTGGGCTTGCGAGGAGCAGCAGCAGCGACGACACGGCAGCTGCAGGTGCCCGCACGAGCAGCAGCCGCAGCAGCACCGGTGAGGCTTCGCAGGCAACAGCGGTGCTGAGAGCAAACTCAGAGAGCAGAGGGCGTGGGCATGCGAGGAGCGGCAGCAGGCTGAGGTCATGGGGGTTCAGGTCGTGGGGTAGCGGTGGGGGTAGCAGTAGTGGTCACAAGAAGGACAGCCTCTCTGGGGGTGATGAGGCGCCTTCTGAGGCACCTCGATCCGTGCCAGTGATAACGAAGAATGATGGCTCTGGTGAGAGCAGGGAATCAAGTCAGATGGACTCGAGCTCGAGTGGCAAGGATGGTGGAGTGGAGAAGAGCACGAGTGGTGCCGTGCAGCAAGGTTGCAGTAGCGGCAGCAGTGACTGCTTTGCTGAGGAAGCCTTGCTCTCTGAGAACCCTGAGAATCATTGCAAGGCTTCAGGTGAATCCTCAGGTGGTGGCGTTCTGTGGAATCCGTACAGTGCGGAGGGCCGCCTGGAGGAAATGCCGAGCTTTCTTTCAGAGTGCAAGTCGTCTGGGTTGGAATATGAAGAGGAGGGGGAGGAAGGAGAGGAGGGGGTGGGGGGAGAGGGGGAGGGGGCCCACCTGGGAGTGGCGTGGAGCTGCCCTGTCCTGCTGCCTGATGCCTCCCTTGGAGTGCCACCTGTGATGCACAGCCTTGTGGAGAGGCAGGAGGAAGGGTGCGAGAGCCAGCAGGATGTTCATTCGGGGCAACCCAAGAGGCAGCAGGGGAAAGAGCGTGGCACCCATGAGCTGGCAGGTGGGAGGGCTGTTACATTTGCGAGAATGGAGCCCTTGCACGAGGGCGAGGCTATGGAGGGGTGTGAGGGTGAGTCTGTGGGGGTCGAGTCTGTGGGGGGTTCTCATAGAGAAGCAGAGGAGAGAGTGTCGGAGCAAGGTAAGCAGGGTCAAGAGAAGAGGACAAGGGCTGCCACCCTTCTTGTTGCAGTGGAGCCGTTCAGACAGCGTGTGCAGAAGGCAATGCGGGGACAGCTGGCGTAGGATGTTAAGTGTGCACGAAATATACTGTAGCTGGGGCTTAGATGACTTGTCTTGTGTATTCACCTTTCCCACATGCCCACGGAGATGCATTATGAATGCGTTTAGTCTCCATCCTCAGAGATGCTGTGATGCGTTGCTTTTTACCTAGATCCTCCTCCTTACGGTTTATCTCTCACCAATACGTACCACATTTGAAGTTCAGAGAGGCAAAAACAACAGCTTAGTGTAGTGTATGGAATGATTGGTGGAAATTTTGTGTGAAGAGATTGTTGTATACGCATATGGGTGCAACGATCTTGAGCTGGGAAGAGCAAAGCCTTTGACCAACATCCACATTTTTCTTTCAACCCTCAAAATGTAGTATCCCGATCATATCGTAGCTAGAATCACTATCAAAGTGTACTTCAACATTTATGCCGTTTGGCATCACCTGTTCGAGGCATTCCTTGGTTTTGGTTCGGTGCTTCGAGCAGATCTAGGGTTTCTTTTCCTCAGTGGCCTCGCTCAACCAACCACTTCCCAAGATTCTTGAACTTACCGAACGAAGCTCGATCTAGATCCTACAGTAGTCAACCTTCAGGGAAAACCTATGGCCTCGATTCTGGAGCAGCGAGCGCAGAGCTTCCAGATCAGTCTCTCATGTCTGATTGATATCATGTAGATACCTTTCTACGCGCTATGTGTCGCCATTGTTAGTCTTAGGCTATGGCTTCCGAGGATACCGGTGTGCAGAGGGACGAATCGGGTCCCGGTGCCTCGTGGCCACCGGGGTTCGGCGTTCCTCCAGCTTCAGCCTACGCACGTCCGCAGTTAGGAGATTCTTCAGGTGTTTCCGCGCAGGAGATTAATTCCCATCTTGTAGCTAACCATGATTTGAAGGCGGGTACCGCGTGGCATTTCGGGCCGTCCGATGCGAAGCAGTACGGATTAGGTCCTGCGCGAGTCGCGCATGGTTCTGATCCGTCTGTCCGCAATCCTAATTTCGGCGACGATTCGTTTTCTCTCTCCGGCGGATCCGGCGGTTTGACACACGCAGCGAATTACATTGATTCGGTATTATCTAGGCTAACTCCAGGCAGCGGATTGGGCGGGATGCCTGGCGAAGTGACAGCTCCGCGAGCTCCTGCGGCCTCGCAAGGAGTTAACGGAATCGGCCGTTCCTTGCACGCGGAACAGATGATATCGTTGCAACAGCAGCCGCAGCCGCAGCCGCAGCAGCAGCAACAGCAGCATCAGCAGCAACAGGCTCAATTCTTGCAGCAAGATTTCCCACAGCTGCAACGTCATCAGAATCCTGATGCTCCTCCTCCACCGTCAGATGGATACTCTCGCATATCAACGGACCACATGCTTTCGTGGCAGGTAGAGGAGTATTTTCAGCAGCAGCGGAGGCAGCAGGCACTCGCAGGGCTCGTGACTCAGCAGCCGTTCCCTATTGACTCAGGTCCACTGGCATTGCCACGTCATCTGCAACAAGCACTGGGACCACCTGTAGCCACGTCACTGGAGCACAGTCAGCAGCAGCATCAGCACCAACAACAGCAGCAGCGCTTTCAGGGCCAAGCCGGTGCTCCGCTATACGTGGACTCTGTACATGCACAGCTCCAGTCACTCCCCGGAGGCGTTCTCAACACTCACTTCGCGTCAGGCCCATCGGCGACGCAATCGGACGGCGATCTCGGTCAGATCTACGGCCCACGAGTCTCGCAGAATCTCCCCGCTCCTCCAAACAGTCTCGGGCTTACCCTTGACGAGATACGAGCTCCGCATAATCTACCAAATGTTGAACCCATGGCGGCGCCGAACCTTACTGAAAAATACGAGGTGCCGTCATACCTCAAGGAGCTCTGGTCCGATTCTCCTGTCCATGGCTCTCCGTTCCGCGCGCCGGGAAGGCCCACTGACCCGGGCGGGATGCGCGGCGGACAGCCTTTCTCACTCGGGCAAGGAATGATGACTTTTGAAAACTCGCAAAAACTAACCGAAGCAGCAGCAGGAGCACCGGGAAGATTCCGAGGGGAAGGAGGGTTTGGAGGAAATGGGGAAGGAATGAGCCGCGGGAGTCCGTCTCTCGGTCCGTACCCGCATCCCGGGTTGAACGGAGGTGATCCGCGCTTGCAAGGGTTTTCCGATCCCGGCGGGCCGTTCGACCAGCGTGTTTCCTCGTTAGAAGGGTCCCCGTTTGGGAGAAAGTCCGTGGAGGCAGGCAGAGGCTCTCCCAGCCGATCGTCTCTTAGTAACTGGCCGTATGGGGCGAATGAGGGCGAAACGGATAGAGGAATAGGCGGAGGAGAGGGGCGTGGGGACAGCCGGTTTAACCCTTCGCGGGGAGGTATGGCTGCGCCCGGAGGGGGAGGCGGAGGCGGAGGGGGAGCGGGACGAAGCGCTGGTGTGGCGCAATGGGCGGCTGCCGGAGCGAACGGGAAGGAGGCAGGGCGAAGGGAGGATGGAGGGAGTGGATGGGGTGTGAGTGGCGGCGTGAGCAACGGAGGCATGGTTACAGGAGGCAGAGAAGGCGAGGGGTTGGACGTGGGAGGGGACCCGTGGCGTCGCGCTGGCGCCCTGGGCCCGGATGGGCCTCAAGGAAACTTCCCGTTACCTCTGCACCAGCAGTTTCCGTCTGCCCAGCAGCAGCAGCAGCAGGGTGGGATAATGGGTGCAGTGACTTCGAATGCTAACGGTGGAGCCTTTAACGCGGACGAGCTTACTCTGGAGCAGCTGACCGACCCTGCTGCTGTGGCGGCGCTGGAAGGCCCGTCGAGCCAGCAGACGATTATGGACCTTCTCGCCGCTGCCGGCAACGCCTTCGCCGCTCCACAGTTGAAAGCCTCTGGCCTTCACCAGCAGCAGCAGCAGCAGTATCCGCAGCAGGAGCAGCAGCAGCAGCAGCAGTTTCAGCAGCACCACCAGCAGCAGCAACAGCAGCAGCAGCAGCCGCAGGCGCAGCAGGGAAGGGCGCAGGCAACAGCGCGCAAGCTATTCAATGACGACATGTTTCCGCCCCTGGGCTCGCCCTCCGCCCCCCCGCCCGGCAAGGCCGGGATGAGCGCGCAAGGCAGTGGCGGCGGGACGGGGAGAGGCGCAGCAGGCGCGGAGGGGGATGGGGCTGAAGGCGGCGCCGGTGTTGGAAAGGGCGCGGAGGATGTGAGGAATTCTTTGGAGGCGCTGGCGGAAGATATGAAAGCGTTCGACCTCTCTGGTGACCCGACTGGTGACTCGGGTCAGTTTCAACTGCCGCAGGGGCGTGCGGGGCAGCAGCAGCAGCACGGACAGCAGCACATGTCTCGCAATCAGCCGCAGCAGCAGCAGCAGCAGCAGCAGCAGCAGCAGCAGCAGCAGGCACGGCAGCAGCAGCAGCAGCACGGTATCCCCATCCATCCGCATCGCCACCACGCTGCTTTCACTGCCGCCCCTCGCCATCCCCCCGGGTCCAGCCCTGGCCAACGGTTCAGGCATCCCGAGCAGCAGCAGCAGCAGGGGGGCGTGCAGCAGCAGGAGCTGCAGCAACTTCAGGCAAGAGCCCAGCAACAGCAGCAGCAACAACAGCAACAGCAACAGCAGCAACATCAGCAGCAGGGGGTGCAGTTCCGCCCGCACGCCCACCGCCCGCCGTCCCTCCGCGTGGACCTCTCCCGCCTGAACTCGCACCTGCTGGCGCTCTTCCGCTCGCTGGAACCCACAGCAGAGGAGGCGGAGCGCAAGGAGCAGCTCATGCGCACGCTCACGCGCGTGGCGGGCGCCACGTACCCGTCCGCGCAGCTGTTCCTGTACGGCTCGTGCGCCAACTCGTTCGGCGTGCGCAACTGCGACGTGGACGTGTGCCTGGCGTTGGACGGCCCAGATGTGTCGCGTGTGGAGGTGATCACGAATATGGCGACCGCATTGAGAGCCGAGGGCATGCTGAACGTGCAGGTGAGGGTGTGTGCTGGTGAGGAAGGGACGGCGCTGGTGTGTGCAGTGCAGGTGAGGAAGGGACGGCGCTGGTGTGTGCAGGTGAGGAAGGGACGGCGCTGGTGTGTGCAGGTGAGTGAGGCGAGGGTAGGATAGGGAAACCATCAGGTGAAGTGGAGGGGCGGATGGGTCGTGCGTGGAGGTTATCATGAACACGGCGACCTCGCTCAGGGCGGAAGGCATGCCCTGGATCCAGCATCAGGGCGGAAGGCATGCCCTGGATCCAGCATCAGGGCGGAAGGCATGCCCTGGATCCAGCATCAGGGCGGAAGGCATGCCCTGGATCCAGCATCAGGGCGGAAGGCATGCCCTGGATCCAGCATCAGGGCGGAAGGCATGCCCTGGATCCAGCATCAGGGCGGAAGGCATGCCCTGGATCCAGCATCAGGGGTGCCACGCAACATGTGCGTCAACAACCTTTCCACCTGCTATTCCCCATCCCTCATCCCACACAAGCTCTCACCCACGCGCGTGTGCCGATAGTGAAGTTCATGGATCCAGCATGGGGGTTGGCGTGTGACATGTGCGTCAACAACTTGGCAGCTGTGGCCAACAGCCCTCATCCCCCAAACCCCCATTCCCGTCCCTCCCCTGCTGCAGGCGCTGACCCACGCGCGTGTGCCGATAGTCAAGTTCATGGACCCAGCATTGGGCGTGGCGTGTGACATGTGCGTCAACAACCTGGCAGCTGTGGTCGCCAACAATGGCCTGCTAGCCCATTCATACTCCTGCCTTGCCCACATACTTCCTTCCGCATCCCCCACAGGCACTCACCCACGCGCGTGTGCCGATAGTGAAGTTCATGGATCCAGCATCGGGGGTGGCGTGTGACATGTGTGTCAACAACCTGGCAGCCGTGGCCAACAGCCGCCTGCTGGCGGACTATGGGCGCCTGGACGAGCGCGTGCGCCAGCTGGCGTTCCTCGTGAAGCACTGGGCGAAGCGGAGGCAGATCAACGAAACTTTCCGCGGCACACTTTCTTCCTACGCGTGAGTGCGGGAGGGGCAGGAGAGAAGGTGTGGAGGGCGCGAGTGGGGGAAGCGGGTAGGGGGGGTTCAGGAGGGTTGGGGGGGTTCAGGAGGGTTGAGGGGGTTCAGGAGGGTTGGGGAGGTTCAGGAGGGTTGGGGAGGTTCAGGAGGGTTGGGGGTGTGAGCGGACTATGGGCGCCTGGATGAGCGTGTGAGGCAGCTGGCGTTCCTCGTGAAGCACTGGGCGAAGCGGAGGCAGATCAACGAAACTTTCCGCGGCACGCTCTCCTCCTATGCGTGCGTTGGGAGAGGGAGTGGGTGTGGGGGGAAGAAAGAAAGGCGTGGGGGAAGAGTGGGGGGAAAATGTGTGGAGGAAGGGTTGGGAAAGTTTGAGGGTGGTTGGGGATTGAGTGGTCTATGGGCTTGTGGGGGGAGAAGGGAGAGAGAATCGGTGAGAGGGGGAAGGGAACAACTCTCAGAAGTTATTTCGTGAATACCCTCCCCACATCCCCCTCTCATTTTCCATCCATGTCTCGTGCCCCCCCCCCCCCCCCCTCCCCGCGGTGCAGCTACGTCATCATGTGCATCCACTACCTGCAGCAGCGCCAGCCGCCCATTCTGCCATGCCTGCAGGTGCGCACTGCTTTATACTGTACAATGGCTGATGATGATGCAATGCCTTCTTGTTTTCTGTCAGGCAGGGCACAAGTGCTGTTGCCCTTGTTGAACCTGTTGCCCTTCACCACTCTCTGTCCTGCCTCTCAATGGAACACCCCCACACCCCCACTAGCCCTCCTCCGCCTGCCCCCTGCAACCACCAGAGGATGCAGCCCTGTTCTGTACCACATCACATGCTCCAAGCCACTGGGGGAATGAGTGGCCCCGGATGGAGGCAGAGCGGCAGTCTCAAATCTCCACCCACTCATTCCCCCCCTTCCTTCCCTCCCCCTCCCCCTCCCTCAACCTCCGCATCCCCCTCCGCCTCCCTTTCCCTTTCCCCTCCCTCCCCGTTACAATCACCAGGAGATGCAGCCGCACACATACCGCGTGCAGGTGGGCGGCGTCGTTTGTTCCTACTACGACAAGGTGGACACGCTGCAGGGCTTTGGGGCGGCGAACGGGGAGACGGTGGGCGAGCTGCTGGCGGGGCTGTTTGAGTACTGGGCCTTCCGCCACGACTACAACCGCTGCGTCATCAGCATCCGCACCGGCGGCTTCCTCAGGTGACCTCCGAATCCACATGCCATGCCATGCCGCTCCCATCTGCACCGCTCCATGAGTGTATTGGAGCTGCTTTTGAGGATTGTTTGACTTCCGCCACGACTACAATCGCTGCGTCATCAGCATCCGCACTGGCGGCTTCCTCAGGTGAACTGCTGGCACGGCTGCTGCTTGAGTACAGCATGCGTACCCCTGCTGGCCTTCCGCCACGGTTGAGTTCATCGTGTGCTGCAGTGCCCTGCTCCCTCTCCCTCCCTCACCTGTGCGTGCGCATACATCCCCTCCCTCCCCTCCTCTCGACCCCATGCGCACACCCACCGCCCCCCCACCCCCCCACTGACAGCAAGGAGGAGAAAGAGTGGACGAGGCGAGTGGGCAACGAGCGCCACCTGATCTGCATAGAGGACCCTTTTGACCTCGCCCACGACCTGGGCCGTGTGGTTGACCGCGCCTCCATCCGCGTGCTGCGGGATGAGTTCCACCGCGCCGCCAAGCTCATGAGGCACGACCCCGAGCCGTATGTCACGCTGTTTGAGCCGTACGTTCGGGAAGATGAACGGTGAGGATTGAGGCGAGTTCCACCGCGATCCCAAGCTCATGCGCCATAATCCTGAGAAGTGGTTCACGCTGTTTGAGCCGTACGCTTGCAAACGGTGAGGATGAATGGTGAGGATGAACGGTGGAGATTGGGCGGTGGAGACGGACGATGGAGATCAGCTGTTCGTTTGGCATGGTGTTTGGGCCGTACATGTGAGAAGATCAACGGCTTGCGATCACTATGTAACAGCGTTAGCCATTCATCGTAGGTAAGCAGTCAACCTTCCATGCATCCCTGAACACTAATGAGGGGTGCCTATATGCACTACACACTAATCTCTATGATTTAGCGTTACTGATTCCAGTTCTCTTGCTAAGATGCAATTTTTACATTTCACTTTGACTCAGATCAGCTGAATCGAATTCCATGCATTCATAATTCCACTACCAGTCCACAATAGACTTGACTTATCACAACAGAATGTTTCTAACTGCTTACAACAGGACAGTGCTCATTACAAGTGGCATGAGGGCCAGCTATCCAAACAATCATAACCACTGCTTGTAGTTTGACAAAACTCTAAACAAGACTTGACTCTTCTAAGCCTATCAGTGCCGGAGCACCTCTTCTCAATGATTGGATCTGCTATCTTGAAATCCGGGCTCCAGGGCGAGCCACGTGGCAGCAGACTATTGGTCGACGTCCAGTGGCAGTCGGAGGAGAAGGGAGACGAGATGGATGGTTCTGGAGAATGCACCAGTGTCACCCCGTGAACGTCGTAGGGCGGGAAGCATGCCTTTTTCGGGATCTCATATACCTCCTCCCGCTTGGTTACCGGTACCGGTATCTCATCCCTCCCATCATTGACATCTCCCAGTTTTCTCTCCTCTGACTCATCCGCAGTGTGCCTCTCATCTGCTTGTTCCGTCTCACATGTCTTACATCTCTCACCTCTCTCCCCACACCTCTCAACCGATTCTTTCACGGATGTTCCTTCAGCCTGTGCTTGCCTGTCAGGGCAAGGAGACGTATATTTGGGAAACGCAGCATCTGAAGAAGATCCGATTGGGAAGCTCCCTTCTGACTGCGCTCCGCTGTAGCAAAGAGGAGGGGAAAACCAGGCGACAGTGGGAGGAGCTGTGAAGGAGGAGCTTCTCCTCATGCTGCTCCTCAGTATGCCTGACTGCCTTCTTCCGCTCCTTGAAACGAGGCTGCTTCTAGCAGCATTGGAGGAGTCGTTGCTCCTGTCGATTTTTTCTGAAGATTCCACATGAGCAGCAACTAAGGATGCCACAGTACCACCTTCTCTCCCTTCCTCCCCTCGTCCCTCCACTTCGTAGCCCCCATTCCCTTCCCCCGCCTTCCCGTTTTCCCCACCCACCGCCTCTGCTCCCACTTTATCCTCTGCTGTTCCTGCCTTCTTCCCCCCTTCACGTCGCCTCCTCCTGCCGGTGCTATCATCAACAGCACAGCTACTCACAACAGCAAGGCTACTTCCAAACGCAATGCTGCTGGCAATGGCAAGACTCCCTCCGAAAGACAGGCTAGTTGCAATCGCCAGCGTGCTACCGAACGCCAGGCTGCATCCCAGAGCCAGGCTCCTCCCAATCGCATCCCCAGCAGTACTGCCGCTTACATAAGTGCTCGCATAAGTGCTGCTGCTGCGGGCGCTGCTAATAGCGCTGGCGTTCGTGCTGGCGACGCTGATGTTGCTACCCAAACCCTCTCCCATATATTTCCCCTGAGACTCGCTTCTAGCGGTGGCAGTAGCAGTTTCCGTAGCAGTGTGAATCCCGGTCCGCCCGTGCTCTGACATCGGCCGGCTGACCTCAGCGGTGACGTCATGGCCGTGATCCAAGGCTGCGCACACGTCAGCACCATAAGTCGACTCGGCAGGACAGTCGCCGAGGCTGATTCGCTCGACCCAGACTCGGCACATCTTGCACCGATCCACCTCCCGAACCAGCGACCCATGGCCTAGTAAGGACCTGAGAGCAAGACTCTTCCCCATCTCCCATCCCTCCTCCCTCATCCCCGTTCCCCCCTCCTCGTCCGATCCAACCTTCACCACAAAAGCAGCCTTGATTCTCGCCTCTGCAGACTCCCTCTCCCAGAATTCACCTGAAGGTTCACCTGAAGAGCCACCTGAGAATCCCTGGTGCGGTGGCATCCCCCGAGTTCCAGCTCTCTTGCTCAGTTGAGCATGTGGCGACATGGCTCGTCCCAAGCCACCTTGCCGCTTCTTCAGAGCCAGCTGCACCCTCGAAACTCCCTTGCAAGGCACGTGGTCCTGCGACAACGCGCCGTGGCGTCTCCCCTTGCTCCCCCATCCTCCACGCGTCGCTCTGTTCGAGGGGTTCCATGCTCCGCCGCGCATCTTCCCGCAGCAAGCGTGCACGCGCCGCTGGATCCGCGACAGCGCCATGTGCATGCGGAATTCGCGCCGTTGGTGGCGGATGAAAGTGGTTACCGTCGGGAATGGGTTCGACGTGAGTGCTGACGTGTCCTCTGCCACGGTGGCGGATGCTGATCCCAGCCTCGTCATGATCGCCGGAAGCGATCGTCTCAGTCAGACTCAGATTCCGAGGCGGCGGAATGACCGCGGGGTCAGCCCCGATAGCGTCAACGTCAATATCCTCATCCGAATTCTCGTTATAGCATGACGCAGCGTCACACGTGAGGCGTGCAGGCTGCTCCATATGATCGCTGGCCGAGTCTTCGTCAGAATCCGTGTTATTAAGGTCGAATTCAGCTACGACTTCAGACGTTAGCGCGGCGGCTGTTAACGAATCAAGCGTTGCCGAGCTGGACATCACCTCGTCCTTGTAAGGAACTTCTTCCTCAGAATCGGACAGAATCCCTGGTATGTCGGAGGCTTCATTGCTTCGCTGTCCCGCCAACTCATGGAGACCGCTCGTGTCGAGTGTTTCTGGGAGTGTGAAAGAGTCGACCGCGGTAGCGGCGGCGGCGGCGGAGGCGTGGGGGGCAGCTCCAACGCATGACGGGGAGACGCGGCCAAATGGGGAGGATTTTGCACACTTCTGTTCCATCCGTTTTTCGAATTCTTCCTCTCCGCATGATGCCATTAACATGCCACCGTCATGGCAATTCTCCTCCCTCGACTCGTGAGACGTTTCAATTGTCGCACACTTATGTTCTATCCCTTCCTCGCCGGATTCGTTCTCTCCACGTGTTGTTTTGTGGTGGTGGGTGGCGTCGCGACGACTCGCCGAAAACGGACCCTCCTCCTTCAGCGTTGATAACGGACGCGCCAGTAGGCCCGCCAAAACAATCATTCCGCGCCCCCAACTGGTGGAAAGACTCGGAGGCATCGTATAATAGCGTACAAAGAGAGTTTCGCTGGGGAATCTCTTGGAGTCTGTGAGAACGTGTTTGCGAGTACGAATGCGTGTGTTGCACTACGAGTTCGATCGACCATTCGCCTGCGCAGCATTAGTTATCCTACTATAAATCAGTGAGAGAGATGCGTGTCGGAAGTGGCACAACGAGGCGCTCAGTAATGGATAACTATGCGGCTGGGAAATATTGGCTCAGTCGGAGGTACCAAGACGCTGTGCTGCTGTAAGCAGTCGGGTGGATAAGAAGAGAGAGGAGCATGAATTTGCTGCTGAGCGCTGTTGGGCTGTCCGAGAAGCGTGCGAGTATTTGTGCGAGTCTGCGAGAGCCCTTTGGGATGACTCAGGTTGAGCTGTAAGGATGGAAATAAAAACATCCCTCCCAGACGGGGCTTGTGCTGGCGCGATGCGTCGAACTAATCATGCGAAATCGCAGCGCTGTTGCGAATGCTACCAGCAAACATTTGGCCATTCGCAAGAGCTACAATCAGCCGAGGATAAGACTCGTGAACTGTCGCCACAATTCGCATGTTCGACATCGGTTGACAGCTATTGACATGCGTTGTGAAATGCTGCTGGGGTAGTTGGTGGGTTGGATGTGGAGGTTTGAGGTGGAAATTGACACGGACCATCGCGTCGCGGGTACCTCGATCCGCCTTATATGGCGCGCTTAGAAAGAGCGAGCAGCGAGCAACCCACAAGTGACAGCACAGCAAGTTCAGGAAACACGTCATGCCAGCGATAAGCGATCACCTGAGCCGTCAGATGAAACATTCGTCAGATCTCACATCTTCTCACATGAAGGGGCAGTCAAGCTTCGGTCAGCAAATTCTTTGAATGTTACAGTATCACATATCAGCTTCTCAATGGCAGATGAGTTTGTCCCTGATTATACGGCGCAACGTGCGCAAGATCTAGTCACAACTGTATGCGATATGAGCGTGACGCATAAATAGCAACGAAAAAATACAATCAAAGTGGAAACAAACTAAATATGGTACACTCACCTCTTCTCGTCGACTTTCTGCTGTTACCATTCTGACGGAGCCTGGCAGTGCCCGAAGTACCTCGCGCACATCGCTAAGTCGTCGCTCAATCGCAATTGCCTTCCGGCCCCTCCATATCTCCACTACTGTTCTAATGTAACTGTTCAGGCAGAACCTCGGTTTCCTTAATCCCACCACATATTTTTCAAGTGGCATTCACCGTCGCTTGCGCGGCGCTGCGTCTGCGATGGCGTGGACCGTGGACCCGCAATGGGAAGCGGCGCTAGGACTTGTCGGAACCCTCTCCGCCATAGCCCTGTTCATATCACCCATGTAAGAATAGCATTGCCATCGATCCGCCTCTCCCTACCTGCTCCCGTGGACTTGTGAACCCATCCCATCACAACTCTTTCTCCGCTTAGCATGATGCTTAATTAGCGGTCATCAGACTCTGTCGCTTCCCGCTGGCGCGAAGTGGGACGATATCTTCTCATTTTGTCGCCATACTCCAGATATCCTTTTCCACAGGCACGCCAAGTTATCAATTTCCACCTCTGCTTCTAACCGTCGCAAATTCTCCCTTGTTCTTCGTCCCCTTCCGTTCCGCCACGCGTCCTGCGCAGTAAGACCTTTCAGCGGATCATCAGCAGGCGAAGCACGGAGGACTTCCCGTCCTTCCCGTACGTGTCCACGCTGCTCAATTGCTTCGTCTGGACGGTCTACGCGCTCCCGTTCGTCACTCCCAACCGCTTCCCACCGCTTGTTACCAATGTCATCGGCGTGGCCTTCCAACTGGTTTACCTCGTGCTCTTCGTGCGCTACGCTAAGGACAAAGCTCAGGTGAGTCAGTAACAAAACAGTCTCAATGCACTTGAAAACTGCTGTTGCTTGAGACAGTACTGGTCGCTATAATGCGCAGCTGGATATGTTGTTCTCAATTATCCAACAAAAAACTGCTGTTGCTCATTCTACTTCTCTGTTCGGAGATTTCACATTCCAAGCAGTGCACCTCATCCCATTGCACCCTGCTTCACCGCAATCTACCCCATCCGCACCCATCTGCAGAGCCAAGTGCGGCAGCAGCTGCTGGTGCTCTGCACCTTTCTTCTGCTCTTCACTACTTCTCTGTTTGGGAAGTCAATATCTCAGCATTGCACCTCATCCCATTCCACCCTTCACCGCACTCACCCTTTCGCACCCATTCGCAGAGCCAAGTGCGGCAGCAGCTGCTGGTGCTCTGCACCTTTCTGCTGCTCTTCACAGCTCTCCTCTTCACCATCGTGCCTCCACCCAGCCGCACTGCTGTGGCTGGAAACCTAGCCACTCTCTTCACTGTCATCATGTTTGGCGCTCCTCTCTCCTCGCTGGTGGGTGTCCGTCCATCCCTGGTAACTTTTCCAAACTCATGCAGCGTGCCTTGCCTGCAGCTGTCCAACCCTGGCAGACTCTCTAACCTCTCGCTCGTGCGTGTCCTTGTGCATAGGACGCGCATGACTTCTTGCACCTCATTTTCAACATTTGCCATCACACTCAGCTCATTTTCAACATTTGCCATCACACTCAGCTCATTTACAACATTTGCCATCACACTCAGCTCATTTACAACATTTGCCATCACACTCAGCTCATTTACAACATTTGCCATCACACTCAGCTCAGTTGTAACTGTGCCTTTCCCATTTCAGCGCTGTTGTTTCCCAGCACTGTTGAACGACATCCTTTCTGCTGGGTCATTGACATTTTCATGTTTTTTTTTTTTTTTTTTTTTTTTTTTTTTTTCGCTCCGTCCAGCACAGTCACATCACATCCATTGAACATCTCTCCATCCACTACTGCATACACATCGGCTGTGGGGCAGGGTGGTGTGATATTGGGTTTGTTCATACATGTGTGTGTGGGGAGGGAGGGGTGGGTGGGTGTACGTGTGTGAGTGTGCATGTGTCTGTGTGTGTGTGTGTGTAAATGCATGCGTGTGCATTGTGATGCATGTACACGTGGCAGTCTGTGGTGCTGAGGACACGCAGCGTGGAGTTTATGCCTTTGCCACTGTCCCTCATGTCATTCGTTTGTAGCACGGCATGGATGGCCTATGGGATCTACGTGCAAGACACTTACGTGATTGTGAGTTGCGAGACACTTACGTGATTGTGAGTTGCGATACACTTACGTGACTGTGAGTTGCGAGACACTTACGTGGTTGTAAGTCAACTTTTACCCAGGGGAATGTGAGAGAAGGGTAGGTGATAGGGGGGTAGGAGAGAAGGGGGCAGGAGAGAAGGGGGCAGGAGAGAAGGGGGCAGGAGAGAAGGGGGTAGTAGTGAAGGGGGTAGGAGAGAAGGGGGAGGAGTGAAGGGGACAGTAGAGAGGGTAGGAGAGAAGTGGGTAGGTGAAAGGGGGACAGGTGAGAGGGGGGCAGATGAGACGGGGACATATGAGAGAGGGGCAGATGGGAGGAGGGTGCTCATATGTAGCTTTTTTTTTTTTGTATGTTGTTCAGAGTTGTTTTGAGCCCTCGTTGTTTTGACAGCTTCTCACACTTGTTGCTCAAACCATTTAACCCTGAACCAACAGAATCTGTGCATTCAACATTGTCATTACTGTGTATTGTTGCTTTCAGGTCCCAAACGCCCTGGGTTCGATTCTCGGCATCATCCAACTTTGCATCTACTATGCAATCAGGTGATGAATGGTTGTGCGAGTCGACCTTGCAATATTTTATACGCGTACTCTGTGGTTTCATTCCTTGCATGCGTGTATCTGAACTTTTTTTTTTGCTGCAGCCGCGAGGGAAGGAAGAAGCCCTTAGAAGTTGAAATGGATGGCGAAAATATTCCATTGCAAGAAGTAAACGATCCAGGTTTTTAAACATGTACCGTATGTGAGTGGAATGCTAGTTTGTTGTATTGTGTGAAATATTAGAATCAGTGCTGTGAAGCGCTGCCATCTGCCAAAAAGGCTCATCTCCCATTACAGAGTATCACAAGTGCTTCCAAGTTTCAATCACTTCAAATATGCATGACATAATTATTTGCTAAGCTGACTTGGGTACCTCGGTGAACCAGTGACAGCTGCAATCTGTTTAGTGCCCCTCATGAGTACCTTTGAATCGAAGAAAGCTATCCTCCCAGCTACCAGTGACGTGGCACGCGTGTCACCCTCGTCACATTATCGCCGAAGCGAATCAGGATGTCGCCACATGTTCTAGCGATAGGCCTTTTTGGCAGATGTGCCTGACCCGCCCGCCACGCACCCCACGGTTGTTGCAACAGCATCCCTCCATGCCAGTACGTTTGGTATGACGAGCTAGGCTCGAGAACATCTTGCGGTACCATCTCGCTAGTGTTTTGGCCGAAGCATTAGGCCGAGGTAATGGGTACAGGCTCGAGATCTCCCCGAGCCATCTCAACAACCATGACGGTTTCCTCTGCCATCAGTATTTAACCTAGCCTAGGTAATTGCTTCTTCTCTTTCGCCTCCATCTTTTTTCTGACTAGCTTGTTTCAGCTACTTGGCTTTCCCTGATCATACCTATAGAAACCCTAATTCCGCGACTTGTTTGGCGTGGCTGACAGCTGACGTTTTCTTCTCTATGCGTCTAATTTCAAGCCACATGTGCCGGTGATTGTTGCTCTTTTTCGCCGAGCATATGTTTAGTTAGAATATGGGAGAATGACCGTCAATCTAGCGTCAAGTTCTGCTAGAGTAGGAGTCAAATCAGAACAGAAGGCCCTAGATTATGCGATGGATTCCGTCGCGGAGTTGCATGCCGTTAACGAGGCACCCCGAATGATTCGTGAAGCTGCTGAATTATGACAGAGTTGTAACCCTGCTCAACACTACACTCAATCCTCGGTTACCGAACTGCCTGAATACTGACCGGTCTAGCCCGTCCGGTCTAACGAACCAATTCTGGTTGTCGTTTCCGACAACCTGGAGTAAATCTCGGAAACGACCGTCAGAATAATTACTATCAGCTCACTAACCTCCTAACAATCACTTATCCCTCACCATCCCTCAAAATGGACTCGAGAAAGACGAGTTCGCGGCTGCCGTCCCTCCGAGCCGTGGAGGAGGTGCTGCCGATGTACGCGCCGCGAATGCAGCTGGGGGCGGGCTCATTCGGACGGGTGTTTCTGATGGAGCACCGGCAGACGGGCGGAAAGGTAGCCGTTAAGACGCTGAAGAAGGAACGGATAGTGGAGCTGGGGATGCAGGATAAGGTTCGGCGGGAGATCAGCATTCTGCTCCGCGTGCGTCATCCCAACGTCATCCGTCTCTACAACGTCGTCGAGACGCCCAAGTAAGCTCGCCGGTCCACTTTGCCGGCGGGCTGTTCTCTATTTCCCACCACCACGTCGCAGCTGCGCGTCCTATCACCCCTACCCGGTGTCCCTTCACCTCGTCCCCTCCACGTCCCCGTTATTGAGCACCTGCTAAACGCCCGTGCCCCCAATCCCCCCTACCCCCACCCCTCATCAGGTACATCCTCCTGCTAATGGAATACGCCGAAAACGGTGAGCTATTCGACTACATCACGCAGCGCGGGCGCTTAACGGAGGGCGAGGCGCGGCGAATCTTCCAGCAGATCGTGGCGGGAGTGGAGTACTGCCACCGCCGCATGGTGGTCCATCGCGACCTCAAACCCGAGAATATCCTGCTCGACGCGTCGTGGACCGTCAAGATCGCCGACTTCGGCCTCGGGAACCTCATGACCGAAGGACATTTTCTGCGGACGAGTTGTGGCTCGCCAAATTACGCTGCGCCTGAGGTGGGTCTCTCTCTCCTGCCTGCCTCGCTGCTCCTATCAGGTTGGGGAGCCTTTTTGCTGGGGAACCTCATGACCGAGGGGCATTTTCTGAGGACGAGTTGTGGCTCGCCGAATTACGCCGCTCCCGAGGTGAGTATTGCTTGCCTGCCTTGCTGCGCATACCAGGATGGGGAACCTCATGGCCGTGCATATTCTGCACTTGTTTATGAACGGGCTCATCCTGAACTGTGGAGGAGTGGGAGAGCCGCGGGGCGAAGGGCGGAAGAATGGGAGAGAAAGTTGGGAGCAGTGGCTGGGGTAGCTGCTCGTAAATGATGTGTTTTTCGTTGTAGAAAAGAAGTACCAAATGTAAACACCAAGTTGTACCGAACCAAAGGCGCATACAAGTAAGCGGCTAAACAGCTTCAAAGGCGACAGGGAAAGATGGAGTTCTTACGTCCGAGTCTAGTTTCCGAAATCTTCCTCCCTCCTACACTTGCCCCCGTCTGCCTTGTTCTCTTCCCCCCCTCCTTCCAGTCTACCCTCCCCTCTCCTCTCCCCTCTCCCCTCCCCTCTCCTCTCCCCTCTCCTCTCCCCTCCCCTCTACCCTCCTCTCTGCCCTCTCCTCTATCCTCCCCACTCCCCTCCCCTCTCCCCTCCCCTCGTCCCTCCCTTCTCCCGTCCCGTCTCCCGTCCCCTCTCCCCCCTCCCTCCTCTCCCCGCGCCTCTCTCCTCATTCATGTTTCAGCCGTCGCACTCCACCGCTCACCCCGCATTTGCTCCGTCTGCCGATCATCTCTCCCTCTGTAGATTACCAACTTCATTGCGGCCCGGAGGTGGACGTGTGGGGGTGCGGCGGCGTGCCACATCCCATACACTTATCCACTGCTCTCTCATCCGTCCCTCTCTCTGCCCGCAGGTCATCACTGGTCGTTTCTACTTCCTCCCAGAGGTGGACGTGTGGGGTTGCGGCGTCGTGTCACAACTAAAACACTTTGCATGTGTACTTCTGCCCTCACACCTATCCATCCGTCTCTATGCCGACAGGTCATCAGCGGCCGCTTCTACTGCGGCCCGGAGGTGGACGTGTGGGGGTGCGGCGTCGTGCTCTACACGCTCCTCTGCGGCCGCCTCCCCTTCGACGAGAAGTCCCACGTGGCGCTCTACCAGAAGATTAAAGCCGGCGCCTATTCCCGCCCCACGCACGTCACCCCCGCCGTGCAAGATCTCCTAGCGCGTCTCCTAGTCGTCGATCCTACCATGCGCGCCACGATCCCCGAGATCCGACGGCATCCGTGGTTCCTGCCGTGGTTCCTGCCGTCCGATCTGATCCGCCTGCAGGAGGACACGGCCGCCGGCCGGCCGGCGGCGCCGCTACAGCTGAACGCGACGGCGATTTCGAACCTCCAGGCGGTGAGGGTGACGGGGGAGGGACGCGCGGTGCTGGCGGGGAATTGGGTGCAAGAGGCCTTTGCGGCTAGGTTCGCTGGTGCGGGCGCGGGAGGGGAAGGTGGTAACGGCGGCGGCGGGGTGGGAGGTGACGGGAAGAAGGGGAGGGGTGTAGGGGACGGGGGAGGGGGAGCGGCAGGGGGACAAGGGGGGGCGCAAGGGCAGCACGGGCATGGGCATGGGCAGGGGCAGGGGCAGCAGAAGGCGCTATGGACGGAAGACGGGCAGCTATTACAGCGGATATGGGGCAGGGCGAATTGGACCCCTGCCGTTCCACTCTTTCAGGCCTCCCATACTAGCACCGTCGCTGCTGCTGCCGCGCCTCTCGCTGCTGCCTCCACTGCCGCCGCCAGCGCCGCTGCCGCTGCTGCTGGCGCCAACGCCGCAGCTGCTGCCGCCGCTACTGCTGCTCCGGGCACTGGCGGAGCCACAGCAGCAGCCGCCGCCGCAGCAGGAGCAGCCGCAGCAGCCGCCGCAGCAGCGAATACAGCCAACGCTGCGGCGACCTCCGCGGGGCACGCAGCAAACGTGATTGCAGCAGCAGCAGCTGCGAACCCTCCCATGCCAGCCCCGTCCGCGGGAGCCACCAAGTGGTGGGACGCCGCCATGCGGGTCTGCATCTCCCTCCACCGTTCCGGCGCAAAATGGAAGCGAAAACCCCCTTCCAACCCCTCCACCTCCTCCTCCACAGCCTCATCAGGTCCCTACGTGCTCCTCTGCTATGCCCCCTACCCGCCTGTAGCAACAGCGCTGCGTTACCAGGGGTGTCTAGAGGCGGCTGTAGCGGCTGTAGCAGAAGAGGCGGAGCTACAGAGGCGGCGGCAGCAGCAGCAGTACAGGTGGCGCGCTGCGATTAGTGAACGCGTGGAGAAGCGCCAGCGTGGCGGGGTAGCCGCCCTGCTCTCCCTCTCCCCGCCTAGACCTCTCACAGGGTCCCTCTCGTCCCCTGTGCTTATAGAGCAGGCCATTCCCGCCGCCACTTCGTTTGAAGCACTTGCTGCAGCGCAAAAGAAGCTGGCTCAGGGGGGTGGGCCTGCTGCTGCTGCGGCGGCGGCTGTAGCAGCGGCTGTAGCGGCTGCTGCTGCGGCAGGTGCGGGGGTGGGTGGTTTTGCGCGGTTGAGTGCGCTTGGTGGCGGTGGTGGGTATGGGATGGGTGCAGGGGCAGGGTTTGGGGATGGGAGCGGCGTTGGAGGGGTAACTTCTCCCTCTACCCCCTCCTCCTGTAATGTATCCCTGTCTTTAGCCCTAGGGAGTAGTCGAAGCAGCAGCAACGGTAGCTCTGGTGGGGGTGTTGCTGCTATGGGGACTGGTAATGGGGGGGCTTTCGTGAATGGGCCGAATGGGGTGAGTGAGCATCTGTTACACGCACAGCAACTGCAACTGCACCAACAGCAGCAACAGCAGTTGCAGCAGCAACAACAACAGCACCAGCAGCAGCAGCAGCAGCCGCAGATTTTCCAACAGCAGCAACTGCTGCAGCAGCAGCAGCAGTGGCAGCGGCACCAGCTGATGCTACAGCAGCAGCAGCAACAGCAGCAGCTGCAGCAGCTACAGCAGGAACAGATGCGGGAAAAACTCCGCCTTTTCAACCAAATTCTAGAAAAATCCGGGCCCATGGGGGCAGCAGCAGCATCAGCAGGCCTCCATGATGCTACTGTTGCAGCTGGGTTGAGGGATTCGTCGGTCACAGGTGGGATGCACGATGGGAGTCGGAATCACACTCCGGATGGTGCGTTAACTCTCGCTGTCCGCGGCATGGACGATAGAGAGTGCTCCAGTATGGGTGGCACGGGCATGGGGGAAGGGCCAGGAGGTGGGGGAGGAGTGGGAGGGATGGGAGGAGGCAGGGAAGGGGTGAGGGAGATGGGAGGGGGGCTGACAGTAGGAGCAGGAGACGGGGCAGGGACAGGTGCAGGGGCGGTTCTGACAAGTATAGGGCCGGGGAGTGGGGCGGGGCAAGGGGCGGGGATGAACTCTACGAGTCTCACCAGCCTCACACTTGAAAGCATAGGGGCCTCTGCAGCTGTGGCTGCAGCGGCGGCAGCTGCTGCGGCAGCAGCAGGGGATGGGCTGCGGTTTGAAGTGGTGCTGATGCAGGATGGGAAGGGGGAGAGTTTGTTGGACCTGTGCCTGCTGTCGGGGTCTAGTGCGGCGTTTGCGGATTTCTGCTCTATCTTCTGGCACAACCTGTCGCAGCTGTGACTGGGATGGGTTGGTGTGTGTGTGTCTCTGGGAGGGGAAGGCATGCTGCATGCACGGCCATGTCTGTTGACCGTGCTTGCTGGTGCTCAGATTAGGCAATGCTCATGCTGATGCATATGGCACACGGCCTTGTGACAAGGCCTGCAGTGACAAGGCCTGCAGCGTGCAGTTTACTGTACCTGTGATTGGTAGGAACATGCGCAGCTGTGTCTGCTAGTCCGTGGTTCCTGGTGCTGATTTTAGCCAGCACGAAGAAGCCGTGTATTGTAGGGTTAGGTACGGTACGACTAGGTTCTACTGGTTGCTGCTGTTGCTAACTGGTTGCTCGCTGGTGTAGACGGTGCTTCACTTATTGGCACTCAAATTGAGCATTTCCGCATGTTGTTTGTCAGCATCTGATGGCTGGAATTTGTGCCACATGAATTTTGAAAGTGCCGATGGCAGTTGGTGATGGTTGCTGTAGCCCAATGCTCCATGGCCAGCCTCAGGCCAAGGAAGATCCGAAATCGTCAAATCTGTCTGGCTGGTTTGGGCGAAAGTACCACATTTGCAACAGTTGCTAACAGTCGCAATGTCAGATCATATCAGATCCAAAAGGAACAGTCCTCTACAGCCATGCAAAGCTCAACCTTTTTCTTATTCTCCATATCCGATCTTGCTAGATACTACTGATACCGGTAGTCAAGCAGACGATGGTTGGTGCACCATGCGGTGATAAGCGGTCATGAACGTGGCTGCGGTTTGACCCGTCTCAATTCCTCGGAAGGTCAACCCTTGCCAACGATCAAGCGGACGACGAGAGGTGCACCATGCGGTGATAAGCGGTCATGAACCCGGCTGCATCAGGCAAGGCATGACGGGCCTTCCAGTGGATGGTTGAGAGCAGCCCCGTGTCGTTCACCTGTGTGAGGAATTGGGGAGGTGGGTGAGGGGGCAGGCAGCAGCACAAGGGGGGAAGGGAGGGAGGGAGAGGCTCTGAGCGAGTCTACCCGGCTGCATCCGGCAGCAACGGGCGAGCGAGCCTTCCAGTGGATGGACCAAGGCAGCCCCGTGTCGTTCACCTGAGAGTTGGGTGTTAGCGACACGCAGGGAGGCAGAGAGACAGGCAGGCAGTCATGAAAACTCTCAGGAGTCACTCTGTGAAAGGGAAGTCATCTCTCCCTCATCTCGTTTCATGGGTATTCTCATGAGGTGAAACGAGATCAGGGTGACTCGCTGTGCTTTGGATCTCCCTTTCGAAAGTGCCTCGCATCATGAGTGTACACGACAAGTGCCTCGTATCATGAGTGTACACGACAAGTGCCTCGCATCATGAGTGTACACGACAAGTGCCTCGCATCATGAGTGTACACGACAAGTGCCTCGCATCATGAGTGTACACGACAAGTGCCTGTGAACAAACGTGCACAGCTTTGTGGGTGAATCGAGAGTAGGCCAGAAATGCGATTCACCCACCTCAAGCACGTATCGGCGGTACGCAAGCCAGAGATCCCCACTGGAGGGTAACGAAACCCTCTAGTGCTGCCACCCATCCACCTCAAAGCGTATCTGCAGTATGGCATGGCACCCACCTCAAGCGCGTATTGGCAGTACGCCAGCCAGAGATCTTTTTGAAACGTCTAAAAAATACCGCATACTGCCACCCACCCACCCACCCACCCACCCACCTCAAGCGCGTATTGGCAGTACGCCAGCCAGAGATCCACACTGGCGGCACCGAATCGCTGCAACGCCGACTCAAACAGACGCTCCACCCGCCCTTCCCCCCCTCCACCACTCCCCCGCCCACTCCCCCTCTTCCCGCTCTGCTCCGCCTGCCAATCGCGCTCCATTTGAATGGCGCTCAGGAAGAGGCGCTCTGAGGCGAATGGGAGCGAGAAGAACCTGCAGCGTGCACGAGGGAGGGGAGCAACATGGGACACGAGAGAAAGAGGGGCGCATTTGTCAAACATCATATATGTTGTGCTTGTTTAGGCTACAGTGGGTTAGCCTATAGGGGTACACAATTCCAGGGTTAGGTACTTCTACTGATTTCACTGTTAGTTCATCCATTCTTCCTGCCTGTTCATTCTAACAGCATTGAGGCACCTCCAAACTCGCCTCCCAATCACGCTCCATTTGAATGGCGCACAGGAGGAGTTTAACTGAGGCGAGTGGGAGCGAGAAGAACCTGTAGGTGTGCGTGATGGGGAGCAGCAGGTGAAGCAGTGGGTGCGCAGAGGAGAAGCAGTCTGAGGAGAAGCAGTCTGAGGAGAAGCACTGACCTGGCATACAGTACAGCTAGCGGGCGGCAGGCAGTGGCTGTAGAGCCGACTCAAGAGAGCTCACCTGGCGTACAACTGGTGGGCGGCATTTCAAGCGCCTCAAAAGTTGACTCAAAAGCAGCACTGACCTGGCGTACAGCTGGCGGGCGACAACGATGCCAAAGCGCCTCCTGGCAGTCTCAAGGGCGGCACACTGCACCGCTGCCACTAGGCCCTTGGCATGTGATGATGATGATGATGAGGACTCCTCAGTGCTGGCGGCAGCAGGCGAGGCGCAGAGGGAGGACGATGCAGGCGCGGCAGAAACACCATCCCCAGCGGTGGGAGAGACGATGGTTGCTGCTGCTGTGATAAGCGAGTCCACTGTGGCTTGCAGCGATGCCAGGCTTGGTGCTGCCTCTACTTGCTGCTTTGGGAGGAGCAGGAGGGAGGAGGAGAGAAGGAGAGAGGAGGAGAGAAGAAGAGAGGAGGAGAGCGTGAGGGAGCCTATTTTTGAGTCGACTCAAAAATAGCGATGCCAGGCTTGGTGTTGCCTCTACTTGCTGCTTTGGGAGGAGCAGGAGGGAGGAGGAGAGAAGAAGAGAGGAGGAGAGCGTGAGGGAGGGAGAATAGAGGGGCAGAGATGAAGCGGCTGAATGACTAACTGCTCTGGTGCTCTCACTCCTTCCTCGTGACACAAACACGCTCTCCTCCAAACAGAGCTCGCAACCACCCTCAACCACTCACAACCGCTCACAACCGCTCACAACCCCCCTCCAACCCCTCCCCGCCACTCACCATCCCATGCAGCACACGCACCTGCATCCAGTAATCCCCCAGCTTGGGATGGCGCCAATTCACAATGCGCACTGGTCCTGATAACTGCATGCCTCCTCCCACTGCTCCTCCCCCTCCTCCTCCTCCTCCTCTTGCTGCTCCTCCTGCTGCTTTTGTCACATCAGTCCCCACCGTTCTCCCTACCCTCTGCAATTTCCTCGCAGCTTCCCTTCCCAGAGCCCACAGGCCTGGCATCACCACCCCTCCGCTCGCTCCCAGAACCTTCCTCGCAGCTTCTAGCGCCTCGCCAGCTCGCCCTGCGCGCAGCAGCAGCGCCACGTGGCGCTCAACGATTGGCTCGTCCGAACCTAGCCCCCGAACCTCTGCCAGAGCCATGGCTGCATTGGCTCGGCACACCAGATCGGCCAATGGCAGCCCATCTCTCTCTCCTTCCCTCTCTCCCGCTGCTTCCTCACATTCCATTGGTTCCTGCTCGCGTTTTTCCCCCTCTCCTTCCTCTCCCCCTTCCCCCCCCTCGCCCTCCTCCCCATACGCCTTCCCCCCGGTGATCAGGCGCATGAGAAAGTCGAGATAGGCGCAGCACAGCAGCGAGAACGAGGAGGGCGCCTGCTGCTCGCTCTTGTGCCTCTCCAACGCGTCTTCAAACACCTGCAGAGCACGGGTTTCAATGTGGGGGCCACACGAGGGGGCAGGCAGCCGCACGCATGAGAAAGTCCAGTCCTGAGAAAGAGACCTTCAGCGCAGCCTCTTCCCGCTCCCCTGCAGGAAAGCAACCGTGGCACTGTGATGACTCCATTTTTGAGTCGACTCATCGCAACCGTGGCACTGTAAGGGAAGGCGGCCGCCATGCCGCCAACGAGTGGTTGCACTAGCAGCCAACCCCAACCCAACCCCACCCAGCCCAACCCCATCAAGTTCACACCACCCGCTCACCTTCAATGCAGCTTTCTCCACCTCCTCTTCCGCTCCTGCCCCTCTCCTTCCCCGCCGCAAGCACCGTCAACCCAGGACCTCGAGTGCGGTGGCACTCTCAGGGAAGGCCGCTGACTGCAACCCAGCACCACCCAGTTCACACCACCCGCTCACCTTCAGCGCAGCCTGCTCCGCCTCCTCTTCTGTTTCCGCCGCCTTCCTTCCCCGCCGTAGGCACTGCCTAGCCAGCACCTCAAGCACCGTGGCACTCTCAGGGAAGGCGGCCGCCAGCCCGCCACACACCTCCTCCTCCACCGCATCCAACCCCTTCAGTTCTACCACCCGCCTCCGCGCCCGCCCCGCCTTCCTCCGTGCTCCCTCCCCTTGCTCTGCTCCTTGCCCCCCTTCCGTGCCTGCTGCCTTAGCGCTTGCTTCCCCCTTCTCCTCCTCTCCTTCTGCCCTCTCCCCCTGTTCGTTCTCCTGCCCTTCTTTCCCTTCCTGCTCTCTCTCACCTTCCTCCACTTTCTCCTCCTTTTCCTCCTCCTCTTCTTCCTCTTCCTCCTCCTCTTCCGCCTCTGCCTCTGCTTGCCCGCCGCCCAATCGCAGGGCTTCCAGCAGCGCCACGCGCAGCAGCAGATCTTTGGGATTCGATTTGATTGCGGTGCGGCACACCACTGTCGCCACCTGCACTGCCAGCTCATCACTTGAAACCGGTTTGCTGCTCCCTTTCTTCCCTTTGCTCCCTTTCTTCCCACTGCTCCCATCCTTCCCACTGTTACCATCCCCTTTACCATCCCCCTTCCCCTCACCCATCCCAACCTCCTCTCCCTCCGCCTCCTTGTTCCCCTCCTTCCCGTCCTCTTCCTGCTCCATCCCTTCCCCCTCCGGGCCCTCCCCACCTTCCACTCCCTCTCCCCCTTCTGCCTCTTTCCCTTCCCCGCCCTCCCCCTCCCCTCCACCCTGCCCACCCCCTTCCTCCGTCTCTATCCCCAGTAGTAGCTGTCTCGCTTTAAGCTTCCTCGCATGAACAAGCTCCATGCGCAAATA